TGCCATTTCAGACAAGTGGCTGTACAGTCTCTTCTTAAAAACCTCCAGTGATGGAGCCCCCACAACTTCTGGTGGCAAGCTGTTCCACTGGTTAATTGTCCTCACTGTCAGGAAGTTTCTCCTTAGTTCCAGGTTGCTTCTCTCCTTGATTAGTTTCCATCCGTTGTTTCTTGTCCTGCCTTTTAGTGCTTTGGAGAATAGCTTGACTGCCTCTTCTTTGGGGCAGCCCCTCAAATATTGGAAGACTGCTATCATGTCGCCTTCTTCTCACTAGACTAGACTTACCCAATTCCTGCAACCGTTCTTCCTGTATGTTTTAGCCTCCAGTCCCCTAATCATCTTTGTTGCTCTTCTCTGCACTCTTTCTAGAGTCTCAACAGTTTTTACATCGTGGTGACCAAAACTGGATGCAGGATTCCAAGTGTGGCCTTACTAAGGCATTGTAAAGTGGTATTAACACTTCATGTGATCTTGATTGTATCCCTTTGTTAAGCAGCCTAAGACTGTGTTGGCTTTTTTGGCTACTGCCACACACTGCTGGCTCATATTTAAATGATTGTCCACTAGACTCCAAGATCCCTCTCGCATTTACTGCTATTGAGCCAGGTTCCACCTATACCAGTAGTGGTGAACCTATGGCACGGGTGCCAGAGGCGGCACTTGGAGCCCTCTGTGGGCACGCACACCATTGCCCCAGTCCTAGGCCTTCAGCTGAGTTTTATAAAACCTTTTCGCTTTAGGCCTCCGCTGCCGTGTACAAAAAATAAAAGTTCAATCAGTCAATTTCAACTTCTCGCGGGGAAAAAAAAGGTCTTGCAAAGTTGGAATTGATTGATTGAACTTTTTAGTCCCACCCAGTCTACGGTTACGACCGCAGCCACGGCTACCCAATGGGCCACAGCCACCCAATGGGCCACACGCACCCGGCACCCGACGATGCATAAGTGGGGTTTGGGTTGCAGTTTGGGCACTCGGTCTCTAAAAGGTTCGCCATCACTGACCTATATTATACTTCAGGGGTGTCAAACCCGCGACGTATCGTGACTTTTTCCCCATTGCCGGCAATGGGGTGGGCACAGTTTCGGCATGGGTCGGCAGTTTGACATCCCTGCTATACTTGTACATTTGATTTTTCTTGCCTAAGTGTAAAGCCTTACTTTTGNATCCACAGGCCTCCATCCGCAAGCAACCCATTTTCTCTTCCAACCCGGCATTTGAGAAAACCTCCGAAAAACATCTCTTGGTGTCTTGCCGGCTCTCACGCCTCGCTCCCTCTTCCCAGCCAACCCCCGATTGCCGCTTTAATGCCTATATTAAGGTTTCTTTTCTCGGTTTTAATCATTCCAGATTCTCTCGGGACCGTCGGGGAGAAAATGTTTTCAACACATTTCTGCAGAATGCAAAAAGCGACGTTATTTTCCTTTCCTTTCCTTTTTTTTTTGCAGAAATCCCAAAGAAATCCAACGTACCACGCTGGTTTCTCGCCTTTTTGGAGGAAAAAGGTCAATCGCCAATGGTCAATCGCTAGCTATGTTCCCGCAGGTGCATATAGTAGTAGTAGTAGTAGTAGTAGTAGTAGTAGTAGTAGTAGTAGTAGTAGTAGTAGTAATAATAATAATAATAATAATAATAATAATAATTGTAAGCAAAAACTGGTGGGATCATAAAATAGAGAATGTCATAGAAAATGATAAAATTAAACTGCTCTGGGACTTCAGAATTCAAACAGACAAGCACCTGCAACATAACACACCGGACTTAACAGTTGTCGATAAGAAAGACAAAAAAGTCTGGATAGTGGACGTGGCAGTGCCTGGAGACAGCAGAATAGACGAGAAAGAACTGGAGAAGATAACAAAGTACAAAGACCTACAAATAGAAATAGAAAGACTGTGGCAAAAGCAAGCAAGGATAGTACCAATAGTAATAGGCGCCTTGGGTACAATTCCAAAACAACTGGAGCACCACTTGGACACCATCATCGGCATTGACAAATTCGCCATTAGTCATTGCAAAAGGCGGCCTTACTAGGAACTGCTTCCATCCTGCGACGATATCTGTAATACCATCAAACATCCACATCTGCCTATCCCAGGTCCTGGGTAAGGACTCGATAGGTAGACAAAATGCCAAATCTAGTCTGAACATCTGGCTGACTGTGCGATGATCCACAACAACAACAAGAACAATAATAATAATAATAATAATAATAATAATAATAATAATAATAATAATAATAAAGTTGGAAGGGACCTTGAAGGTCATCTAGTCCAACCCCCTGCTCAGGCAGGAAACCCTATACCATTTCAGACAAATGGCTGTCCAGTCTCTTCTTAAAAACTTCCAGTGTTGGAGCATTTGCAGCGTCTGGAGGCAGGTTGTTCCACTGGTTAATTGTTCTCACTGTCAGGACGTTTCTCCTTAGTTCTCTCCTTGATTTAACCAGGTTAGATAAAAAAAAAGAGCTGATAGTGGCTCTATCCGTTGGTTGGTTTTAACTCTGGTTAGTTCTAGCTTTTCGGTGGCTTAGCTGGATATGTTATAATCCAGATCTTTGGGCGTGATTCATGAATTGTGCACAGCCAGGAAAAGAGGTTAACTCAATGTCTACCGAATCATGGATTAGAAGGAGCCTCAGAGGTCATCTAGTCCCACCCTCCTTGCTCAGTGCAACATTTAATCAATTAATCAGAATAGACCTGGAAGTGGCTGTCCAGCCTCTTCTTAAAAACCTCCAGTGATGAAGCACCCACCACTTCTGAAGGCAAGCCGTTCTTCCACTGATTCATTGTTCTCAATTAACCAGTGGAATTAAACTTAATTAAGATAATTAATTAACCATCCACAATTGTTAATTGTAGATCCCACTTCAGGTAGTCCACAATTTATGACAATTGGGACCGGAATTTGCATTGCTAAGCAAGATGTGTTTGTTAAGGGAGTTATGCCCAATTTCATCATCGTTTTGCCACCGTTGTTAAGTGAATCAGTCGGGCTTCCCTCCATTGATTTTGCTTGTCGGAAGCTGGGTGGGAAGGTTGCAAACGGCGATCATGTGACCCCCGGGATGCTGTAACCCTTGGAAATACATGCCGGTTGCCAATTTTGATCATGTGACCGCGGGGAATGTTGCAACGGTCATAAGTGCAAGGACTGGCCGTAAGTCACTGTATTCAGGGCTGTTGCAACTTCAAACGATCACTAAAGGAATGGATGTAGGGAGAATTTTCAAACAGAATAACGGAGGTCTTCTAGTCCAGCCCCCTGCTCAAGCAGGAGACCCTATGCCATTTCAGACAAGTGGCTGTCCAGTCTCTTCTCAAAAACCTCCAGTGATGGAGCCCCCACAACTTCTGGTGGCAAGCTGTTCCACTGGTTAATTGTCCTCACTGTTAGGAAGTTTCTCCTTAGTTCCAGGTTGCTTCTCTCCTTGATTAGTTTCCATCCGTGGGGCAGCCCCTGAGATATTGGAAAACTGCTATCATGTCACCTTCTCACCAGACTAGACTTACCCAATTCCTGCAACCGTTCTTCCTGTATGTTTTAGCCTCCAGTCCCCTAATCATCTTTGTTGCTCTTCTTTATACTCTTTCTAGAGTCTCAGCATCTTTTTTACATCGTGGTGACCAAAACTGGATGCCGTATTCCAAGTGTGGCCTTACTAAGGCATTGTAAAGTGGTATTAACACTTCATGTGATCTTGATTGTATCCCTCTGTTAAGCAGCCTAAGACTGTGTTGGCTTTTTTGGCTACTGCCACACACTGCTGGCTCATATTTAAATGATTGTCCACTAGACTCCAAGATCCCTCTCGCATTTACTGCTATTGAGCCAGGTTCCACCTATACCAGTAGTGGTGAACCTATGGCACGGGTGCCAGAGGCGGCACTTGGAGCCCTCTGTGGGTATGCACACCATTGCCCCAGTCCTAGGCCTTCAGCTGAGTTTTATAAAACCTTTTCGCTTTAGGCCTTCGCTGCCGTGTACAAAAAATAAAAGTTCAATCAGTCAATTTCAACTTCTCGCGGGGAAAAAAAAGGTCTTGCAAAGTTGGAATTGATTGATTGAACTTTTTAGTCCCACCCAGTCTGCGGTTACCACCGCAGCCACGCCTACCCAATGGGCCACAGCCACCCAATGGGCCACACGCACCCGGCACCCGACGATGCATAAGTGGGGTTTGGGTTGCAGTTTGGGCACTCGGTCTCTAAAAGGTTCGCCATCACTGACCTATATTATACTTCAGGGGTGTCAAACCCGCGACGTATCGTGACTTTTTCCCCATTGCCGGCAATGGGGTGGGCACAGTTTCGGCATGGGTCGGCAGTTTGACATCCCTGCTATACTTGTACATTTGATTTTTCTTGCCTAAGTGTAAAACCTTACTTTTGTCTACACTAGGGGTAGGCAACCTTGGCTCTACACTGCATTTCATTTTATTAGGTAGCAAAATGTTTCATGTTCATTTTGTCATGTGTTACCGTCTGTCTTTGGGTCGGATTTGTGTGGCTTTTATCCTAGCCGGGCAGATTCCAGAGGTTGCAAATGGGTGTTTGGCCCAAGGGCAGAAAAATCCAGATGCAAATTCTCAACCGTGTTTCGTGGTTTTCTACGGAGGCAGGGAGGATGCAAACGCTTCCACATTCCCGCAGGGGTAAAGATGCACCGAGGGAGCAATAGCCCACCCAGGTCAAAAAGCCACGGCTTTCATCTCGCCCAGAAGTCAGAACGAAGCGGAAGCGCTGGCTGGCCTGACCCCCAGGATGATCCCGAAGTATAATTAAGACTTTAAAAAAGGGGGAAAGTGCATGCAAAGCTGCGTGGAGAAATAAAGCGATGGATGTTGAAACCGCCCGGAATCCAGCAGCTTTGAAGCTCCTGAATAATTTACTGTGAAAACCTCACGAGGGCTGCTCTTGCCTGCAGCAGGAGGCAAAGCTTCCCACGGAAGGGAAGGGAAGGGAAGGGAAGGGAAGGGAAGGGCTACCACCACCACTTACCTCGTCCACAATCAGGTTGCAGTCGCTCTTCTCCCCATCGCTTTCCTGCAAGGCAGCCAGGAAAAAGAAATGGGGAAGGAAGGAAGGAAGGAAGGAAGGAAGGAAGGAAGGAAGGAAGGAAGGAAGGAAGGAAGGAAGGAAGGAAGGAGCGAGGGAGGGAGGGATGAAGGAAGGAAGGAAGGAAGGAAGGAAGGAGCGAGGGAGGGATGAAGGAAGGAAGAAAGGAAGGAAGGAAGGAAGGGGAGGGAGGAAAAGAGAAAGAGGAAGGGAGGGAGGGAGGAAGGGATGGATGGATGGAGGGAAGGAAGGAAGGAAGGAAAAAGGGAGGGAGGGAGGAAAATGGAGGAGGGAGGGAAAGAAGGAAGGGAGGAAAAAGGAAGGAAGGGAGGGAGGGAGGAAAACGGAGAAGAAATGGAAGGAAGGAAGGAAGGAAGGAAGGAAGGAAGGAAGGAAGGAAGGAAAGAAAAGGGAGGGAGGAAAACGGAGGAGGGAGGAAAAGAAGGAAGGAAGGAGAAAAGGGAGGGAGGGAAGGAAGAAAGGAAGGAAGGAAGGAGAAAGAAGGGAAGGAGGAAGGGAAGGAAAGAAGGGAGAAAGGGAGGGAGAAAAACAGGAAGGAAGGAAGGAAGGAAGGGGGGAGGGAGGAAAACAGAGAAGGAATGGAAGGAAGGAAGAAAAGGGCGGGAGGAAAACGGAGGAGGGAAGAAAAGAAGGAAGGAAGGAGAAAGAAGGGAGGGAGGGAGGGAAGGAAGAAAGGAAGGAAGGAGAAAGGGGAGGGAGGGAAGTAAGGAAGGAGAAAGAAGGGAAGGAGGAAGGGAAGGAAAGAAGGGAGGAAAAGGGAGGGAGAAAAACAGAAAGGAAGGAAGGAAGGAAGGAAGAAGAAAGAAGGGAGGGAGGAAGGGAAGGAAAGAAGGAAGGAAAATCATCACTTTTGCACCATCCTTGACAGAAAGATGGACAGGAAACCTTCCCAGCTGCTTAATGGACCCCCCCTGGGTATAAATCAGTGGGGAAACCCCTGGCTCAATGTGGCCCTACTCTCTATTTTTCCAGCACAAAAAACTGCATCTCCTGGGGGGAAAAAGTAAACTATCTATGGGGTTACTAAGAGGCAGCCCCCAACTTGATGGTATCTAACCAATTAATCAAGCTGTTGGAAGTCAGTAGCAAACCCCTAATCCCCCCCCAAGTCTATTTCAAAGCAAATTAACCCTCTAATCTGATTGAAGTGAATTTGGCTCCAACTAATGAGCCTGGCTGCCCAGTGGACCTTCGGAAGACCCTGGTTCTTAATCCTAGGTTCCAATTCAGGGCTTCCCAGACATTTTCCTTCATTACTCAACACAGCTCATCAGAAAGGCTGATCCAACTTTTGACCTTGTGATTTCTTTCCTTCGGCAGCCTTGTGACAGTCGCTGAATGACCACAATGGAAGGTATAATAATAATAATAATAATAATAATAATAATAATAATAATAATAATAATAATAATAATAATAATAATAATAATAATAATAATAATAGTAAAGTTGGAATAATAATAGTAAAGTTGGAAGGGACCTTGGAGGTCATCTAGTCCAACCCCCTGCTCAGGCAGGAACCCTACCCCATTTCAGACAAATGGCTGTCCAGTCTCTTCTTAAAAACCTCCAGTGTTGGAGCATTCACCACTTCTGGAGGCAGGTTCAAGGTGACCAATTAACAAGAGTGACAGTCCTTCAAAGAGGAATCAAGGTCCAACGAAGAGAGGAACTAATCAAAGGTGGGCAACGAAGAACAGGACGGAAGTCCGCGAAGGATATAACGTCCATCAGGAGCTGAATGCTGGCGTTGACCTTTTACACTAGTACACCGTTCCCCCGGGACGTCGTTAGTATTTAGACTCGACGGTTTATACATCCTTGACTTGCAGCAGTTTGTTTAGTTACAACGGCGCTGAAAAAAGTAACGTACGCCCGTTTTTCACACAACCGTTGCAGCCTCCCCAGGGTCACATGATCAAAATCCAGACAATTGGCCACTGACTCGTATTTATGACGGTTGTAGTGTCCCAGGGTCAGGTGATCCCCTTTTGCGACCTTCTGACAAGCAAAGTCAAGGAAGGAGACGGATTTACATAACAACCGTGTTATTTTCCTGCCTGAGTAGGGGGTTGGACTAGATGACCTCTAAGGTCCCTTCCATCATCGTCATCATCATCATCATTATTATTATCTTAAGAAATGCAGTGGTTCACTTAACAACTGTGGCAAAATGGAGCAAGACTCATTTAAAACATGTTTCGCTTAGCAACGGAAATTTTGGGCTCAATTGTGGTCGTAACGTGAGGACTGCCTACAGCTTTTTTTAAAAAAAATCCATCGTAGCTTTGAACGGCTGTTCAGCAACCAATCGTGAGTCGAGAACTACTTATAATTTAAATGTCCCGGTCGTGATAGGTAACGGCTTCGTGTCTCAAAGAAAAGCACTTTTAACCCAATTTTGTGCAATTTAACCAGGTTTGGGAAGCACTGCTCTAACTGCTGCACCACACTATTTTTAGGGCTGCTCAAGCCAGACACCTGTCTTTCTTCAGGACAAAAATTCCCTCAGTGTTAAAAAGAGACACTCACATAACGCCCCACCTCTTCCTTGTCCGGCGGCTTGGCCTTCCCCCTGCTCTCTTCCTCCCGTTCTTCATCTTGCAGGCTCTCCGGAGGAGACGCAGAATCGCTCTACAGGTTGCGGAGAAGAGAAGGAGGCAAATGACTGAACGGAAACAAGCCTTGGGCAAACAGAGGTCCATTTCTGGTGCTTTGAGTCAGGGGTCTCCCACAGGGGTCTTCAAACTTGGCCACTTTTAAGACTTGTGGACTTCAACTCCCAGAATTCCTCAGCCAGCGTCCCTGGCTGAGGAATTCTGGGAGTTGAAGTCCACAAATCATCAAAGGGCCAAGTTTGAAGACCCCTGGTCTCCAACCTTGGCCACTTTTAAGACTTGTGGACTTCAACTCCCAGAATTCTCCTCAGTATGGCTGGCTGAGGAATTCTAGGAGTCGAAATCCACAAGTCTTAAAGTGGGAGACCTGCTCCAAAACATAGGACGGTGGATATATTTAATGACAAGATTACTCTCCTCCAGCCCAGTGTGCTGGCTGGGGAATTCTGGGAGTTGCTTTGCTGAAGATATGAAGTAGGGCAGGGGTCTTCAAACTTGGCCCTTTTATGACTTGTGGACTTCAACTCCCAGAATTCTCCTCAGCATGGCTGCCTGAGGAATTCTAGGAGTCGAAGTCCACAAGTCTTAAAGTGGGAGACCTGCTCCAAAACATAGGATGGTGGCTATATTTAATGACAAGATTACTCTCCTCCAGCCCAGTGTGCTGGCTGGGGAATTCTGGGAGTTGCTTTGCTGAAGATATGAAGTAGGGCAGGGGTCTTCAAACTTGGCCCTTTTGTGACTTGTGGACTTCAACTCCCAGAATTCCTCAGCCAGGCACGCTGGCTGCGGAATTCTGGGAGTTGAAGTCCACAAGTCATAAAAGGGCCAAGTTTGAAGACCCCTGAAGTAGGGCAATGTTTTTTCAACCTTGGCCACTTTAAGACGGGTGGACTTCAACTCCCTATGCTGGCTGGGGAATTCTGGGAGTTGAAGTCCACCCATCTCAAAGTGCCCAAGATTGAGAAATACTGTTCTGTTAGGTTTTTCAATCCAAAGCCCTCTCCAGCTGGTTGAATTACAACCAAAGGGTCTTCAAGCAGTTTAGCCATTGTTGGCATGGGCTGGGAATCCTGGGATCTGTAGTCTATCTTCACCAGCCTACAGCCTGTGATCACCCCTCCCACCTCAGACAGGCCAATTACATCTTTTATTTATTTATCACTAACTTCTATTATAAAAGGTTGTTTTTTTTAAATTTTCTGATTCAATGTGAAAGCCATTCAAAAACATTCACAAGACAGGAAGCAGGAATTATCAACCAATGAGAAGAATATAAAGTTAAAGCAGAACGATACAAAACCTCATGTAAAACAAAATTGTAGGCCAGGGGTCTTCAAACTTGGTCCTTTTATGACTTGTGGACTCCAACTACCAGAATTCCTCAGCCAGCGTGCCTGGCTGAGGAATTCTGGGAGTTGAAGTCCACAAGTCATAAAAGAGCCAAGTTTGAAGACCCCTGTTGTAGGCCATCCAGAGCTGCCCTGTGGGAAGATGGATGGCCAATAAATGTAATAAATAAATAATAAATATAACCTGGTCAGGTTTTTTTTCCCTGAAGTTGTGAGTTTACGGTATCTGTGTGTTTGTGTGTGTGCATGCTTTGCAGAACCAGCCACCCAAAACTTGATTCCGTTTTCTAAGCAGACGAGAAGAGACTTGAAAAAACCCAGGACTGATTATCTGAGGTTCCCCTATACTATTATTTATTAATATTATTATTATTCATCAGATTTTTATCCTACCATTATTACTTTATAAGTAACTCAAGGCAACAAACATACCTAACATTCTTTCCTCCTCTCCTTTGTCCCACCCTGTGAGGTGGGTTTGGCAGAGAGAGCATGAGTAACCCAAAGTCACCCAGCCGGGTTTTATGCCTAAAACGGGACTAGAACTCACTGTCTCCTGGTGATTGGCCCAAAATCACCCAGCTCTTTTCATGCCTAAGACGGGACTAGAACTCACAGCCTCCTGGTGATTGGCCCAAAGTCACCCAGTTCTCTTTCATGTCTAAGGTGGGACTAGAACTCACCGTCTCCTGGTGATTGGCCCAAAGTCACCCAGCTGTCTTTCATGCCTGAGGCGGGACTAGAACTCACCGTCTCCTGGTAATTGGCCCAAAATCACCCAGTTCTCTTTCATGCCTAAGGCGGGACTAGAACTCACCGTCTCCTGGTGATTGGCCCAAAGTCACCCAACTCTCATGCCTAAGGCGGGACTAGAACTCACTGTCTCCTGGTGATTGGCCCAAAGTCACCCAGCTGTCTTTCATGCCTAAGGCGGGACTAGAACTCACCGTCTCCTGGTAATTGGCCCAAAATCACCCAGTTCTCTTTCATGCCTAAGGCGGGACTAGAACTCACCGTCTCCTGGTGATTGGCCCAAAGTCACCCAACTCTCTTTCATGCCTAAGGCGGGATTAGAATTCACTGTCTCCTGGTGATTGGCCCAAAGTCACCCAGCTCTCTTTCATGCCTAAGGCGGCACTAGAACTCACCGTCTCCTGGTGATTGGCCCAAAGTCACCCAGTTCTCTTTCATGCCTAAGGCAGGACTAGAACTCACCGTCTCCTGGTGATTGGCCCAAAGTCACCCAGCTCTCTTTCATGCCTAAGGCGGGACTAGAACTCACCGTCTCCTGGTGATTGGCCTTAAGTCACTCAGTCGGCTTTCCTGCGTAAGGTAGGACTAGAACTCACCATCTGCTAGTGAATTGTCCCAAAGTCTCCCAGCTGGTTTTCATGCCTAAGACAGAACTAGAACTTACTGTCTCCTAGTGACTGGCCCAACGTCCCCCAGATGGCTTTCGTACCTAAGGCGGAACTAGAACTCATGGTCTCCCGGTTTCTAGCCTGGTGCCTTCACCACTAGACTAAGCTGGCTCTTACACACATTGTGACCCGAGGATCCGCACTTTTGGGCCACCCCAAAGGGCCCCCCCCTGTTTTCCCCAAGCATAGACACAATTTGTTAGGCTTACCCGGCTTTGTGGGTTCCCTGGAACGCAATCCGTTATTTCGGGGAAGCAAAAAGATGGGGAAAAAACATGGAATTAGGTCTTTGCAATGATAAGATCACAGATCAGATTGTGCGTGCCCACACAGGTTTGGCATTTGTGTGGCACAGGCAGAGTAAAAATGTGCCCAGAGTTGGCTTGAAATGCAACAGCATAGAATTGCTAGGGGAAAATAAATAAAATAAAAATAGAATAGAATAATAGAGTATTATTTTAATATTATTATTAAAACAGAATTTAAAAAAATAGTGTATTTTATGAAATGATTATGTTTCCACCGTCCAATGCTTACTGAGTACAGGTAGTCCTCGACTTACGGCCATAACTGAGCCCAAAATTTCTGCTGATAAGCGAGACATTTGTTAAGTTGAATTTTGTCCCATTTTACGACTTTTCGTGCCACGGTTGTTAAGTGAATCACTGCAGCTGTTAAGTGAGTAACACGGCTGTTAAGCGAATTTGGCTTCCTCATGGACTTTGCTTGTCAGATGGTCGCAAAAGGGGATCACGTGACCCCCAGGGACGCTGCCACCGTCATAAGTAAGAGTCAGTTTGCCAAGCGTCCGGATTTTGATCACGTGACCACGGGGGATGCTGAAAAGGTCGTAAATGTGACAAATGGTGACCAGCCGCTTTTTTCGGGGCCGATGTAACTTTGAACGGTCGCTAAACGGACTGTTGTAAATCGACGACCACCTATATTAGCTTTCTGTCTGCCAGGAGAGGGGGAAAGGGAAGGGAAACTGGGACACGCGGCATATTGTGAGTGTGAGACCCACTTTAAAAAAAAAAAAAGAGCATTTTCCACCTGGCATCCGAAGCGATCCTTTTTCCCAGCTCTGTGTAAAACGGTCCCTGTCTGGTCACCTAGGATCTCATCCTCACTGTAGGCCAGGGGTAGGCAACCTTGGCTCTTTTATGACTCGTGGACTTCAACTCCCAGAATTCCTGAGCCAGCCACGCTGAGGGGAAAGGGAGAGGTTTCCAAGCTGACCCATGCTGGCTCAGGAATTCTGGGAGTTGAAGTCCACGAGTCATAAAAGAGCCAAGGTTGCCTACCCCTGGCCTAGTCATACTTGGATGGGAGACCACTGAGTTAGGCCTAGTCCAGGGGTAGGCAACCTTGGCTCTTTTATGACTCGTGGACTTCAACTCCCAGAATTCCTGAGCCAGCCGCGCTGAGGGGAAAGGGAGAGGTTTCCAAGCTGAGCCATGCTGGCTCAGGAATTCTGGGAGTTGAAGTCCATGAGTCATAAAAGAGCCAAGATCGCCTACCCCTGCTGTAGGCGATCAGACCATCATTAAACCAAAATTATGGATCGCTACTGTGAGGGGAAGGCGCCTCGCCATCCAACATCACTGGTTGGGCTCCTTCCCAACTTTGGCACGGAGGTTGAAAGAAAAAGGGAGGAAAGCTTTTAGCTCCCTCCAGATTAAAGATGGACGCCAGCCAGAAAGAGCCCGGCTGGAGGGTGCTGGATGACGTCCCAGAATGCAACTGGGCCAAGAAAGCTTTTGCAAAGAGGCTTGCCAAGCAAGGCTGGCTTTGATCGGGCCTGCAGGCGAGGCAAATCGCAACCGGAGGGGGTGGGGGAAATACGGTCTCTTACACACACACACACACACACACACACACACACACACACACACACACACTCGGCCTGGGTCTGACTCTCAACGCACTGCAGGTTGTGGAGAGCCAGCTGGGCTGGCTCCAGACCACACACACACACAGGATCTCTCTCTCTGTCGCCTGTGCCTTTTGCCCAAGAGGTCTTTTGCTCACCCGTCTAGACAAGCACAAATCGGCAGGCAAAAACTACGCAACAAGCAGCGGGCAGAGATTTTGGCCAGTAAGATAGAGAGCTCTCTGTAAGGGGTGCAAAGTCTCTGAACTTAACACAAAGAGGGAGGGAGGGAGGGAGGAAGATGGGTGAACAGAAGGAAGAAAGGAAAGAAGGACAGAGGGAAGCGGTGGGTGGGTGGATGGATGGATGGATGGAAGGATGGAGAGGAGGGAGGGAGGGAGGGAGGGAGGGAGGAAGGAAGGAAGGAAGGAAGGAAGGAAGGAAGGAAGGAAGGAAGGAAGGAAGGGGAGGGAACGAAGGAAAAATAGAAAGAAGGGAAGGGGAAGGGAGTGGAAAGAAGGGGGAAGGAGAGGGGAAAGGAAGGGGAGGGAGGGGAAAGAAGGGAGGGAGGGGAAGGGGAGAGGAAGGAAAGGAAAGGAGGGAGTAGAGGGGAAGGGGAGGGGAAGGGGAGGGGAAGCAAATGGAATGGTAGGGGAAGGAAGGAAAAATAGAGAGAACAGAAGGGGAGGGAAGGGAAGAAGGAGAGGGGAAAGGAAGGGCAGGGCAGGGGAGGGGAAGGGAGGGAGGAAGATGGATGAACAGAAGGAAGAAAGGAAAGGACAGAAGGAAGGAGGGGATGGAAGGGAGGAGGGAGAGAAGGAAGGAATAGATCAAAGGGAGGGAGGGAGAAAGATGGATAAACAGAAGGAAGAAGTGGATGGAGGGTGGGTGGGAAGGAAGGAATAGATCAGAGAGAGGGAGGAAGGAATGGATGGAAGGAAGTAAAGAAGGAAGGAGAGAAGAGATGGGAGAGACAGGAAAGAAGGAGAGATAGAAGAGGAAGGAAGCAAGGAAGGAAGGAATGGACAAAGTAGAGAATAGAAGAAAAGAAGGGTAGGAGAAGGGAGAAGGGAGGAGAGGAGAGGAGAGGAGAGGAGAAGAGAGGAGAGGAGAAGAGAAGAGAAGAGAAGAGAAGAGAAGAGAAGAGAAGAGAAGAGAAGAGAAGAGAAGAGAAGAGAAGAGAAGAGAAGAGAAGAGAAGAGAGCAGTTGGAGGGGAAGGAAGGAATTTCCAATTCCACTAAAAGCACAGATTTCACATTTTGACCTCCAGACCTAAATATTAAAAACAGAGACAGGATCACCTCATCACTATTTGCAACCTTCCCAGCCATCTTCCCCACAAGCAAAGTCGAAGGAGGAAGCCGGATTCGCTTAATGACTACTTGATTCATTTAACAAATGCAGTGATTCGTTAACAACCAGCCCCCCACCCAAAAAAAGGTCATAAAATCAGGTCCGAGTCACTTAACAACCGCCTTGCTTAGCAACGCAAATTCTGTTCCCGATTGAGGTCGTAAGTCGAGAACAAACCTGCAGCCTGATTTATACCGTGCATTTCAATTAGCGATAGGTTCCTACCCACCAAACTACACCATTTCCAATAATTATTATTTATTACACTGAAATATCCCCCGACTTCCAGGGACTCTAGCAGGTCTTAAGCCAGCATAGTGTCACGTGTGAATGTTACCACAAGCAGAGATGGAGGGGGGGGAGGGCAGGAGGCATGCAAATGAAGTGGATGGGTTACATTAAAACACACCCTAGGGCGGGGCTATGCAAATATCACCCGCCCCCTTCGGATGGACGGCTTGCACCGCCAACCAGAGAGAGAGAGATTCCTCAGGTCACCCATCAATCCCCCCCCCTTTTCCCCTCTTACCTGGATTGTTTTCGGAGTCCTGCCCGGCGTTTTCTTGCTTTGCCCCAAGGATGGCCTGAGCCCCCAACGTCCCGGAGAGGGCCAGCAGCCCAGAGGCCGTGCTGACTGCAGCCAAGCTAGAAGCCTGAGACCCCAAAAGGTGTGGGGTCAAGGGAACCGGAGGGGCCTGATGGGAGAGATGTTGTAACTGCTGCTGCTGGAAAAGAAAAGAAAAAAGGAACCCCTAGGACAGGGGTCTGCAACCCTGACAACTTTAAGACTTGTGGACTTCAGCTCCCAGAATTCCTCAGCCAGCTATGCTACCACAAAGTGCCAGGGAGGGAGGGAGGGAGGGAGGGAGAGAGGAAGGAAAGAGAAAGGGGGGGGGGAAGGAAGAAGGCAGGGAGGAAGGAAGGAAGAGGAAGGAAGGGGGAGGAAGGGGAGAAAGAAAAGAGAAAGAGGAAGGGAGGGAGGGAAGGAAGGAAGGAAGAAGGCAGGCAGGCAGGGAGAGAGGGAAGGAAGGAAGGAAGGAAGGAAGGAAGGAAGGAAGGAAGGAAGGAAGGAAGGAAGGAAGGAAGG